TCTCCCTTCTTCTTGATGCCAGCAAAGATCATTTTTGTTCCTGGGATGTATTTCTTGGGATTCTCCAAATACTCCATCAATGTATCCTCTCCCCAGGTGATACCTTTGTTCTTGTTGGCATCTGTGTAAGAGAATCCAGCAGGCTGAGCTGTCTTCCGCCCAAAGAGACCATGGAGATTTGGCCCAGTCTTGTGCTTGCCTCCCTTCTCAACAGTGGGGCACTGGGCACACTTCTGTACAAAAATTTTCTTGCCTTCCTCAACATCACCCATTTTTAAACCTGCTGCTGCTTCCGCACCAGGTGGTCACCAGTCTTCCCTCGTTACAAGGAAAGTTCTAGTGTAGAAGCCTGACGTCCCACTCTCTACCATTCTTTCCCCCCCCCCACAGAAGCACTTATTCCACTGAGCCATCTCCCCAGCCCCAAGAGGGGCGTTCTATCCAGACAGAGAGCATGACAGAAAGTTTGGAGACAGTAATATACAAGTTACTAGTATAATTAAAGTGTAGCTACTATGCACAAGGGACTTCTCACATGTGTTCCTTTAATGGTGTATCATGTCCTTATGGTATAGACCAGGAGCGTGAAGCTCAGAGATATTTAGGGACCTGCCCACAGCCACTCACTAGTAAATAACATACCTGGCTTCTCCACTCAGATTTGCTCCACTCCAAAGCTCTCCTCTCTCCACTACCCACCTCTCAAGTGTGAAATTATAGAGATTCCTGCCTCATCCTCATCTTAAATCTGTGAAGTTTATATTTGTAATCCCATGGATTAAATTATTGGAATCTCATCAAATTCTAATCTACCATACCCAGTGCAACCAGTGGCAAAAGTACAGACACTAAGCCCTGTTGGTAGTTATGGAGAGCCAAGGGGTCCTAAATCCAACCATGACGATGGCTAGGTCCAGAACAAAGGCCGCCACCTAAGACTGAAACCTGGGTTTGATTCATTCATGAAAAAAGGAGTAGGGGACAAGCACAAGGGCCTGAGTTCAATCCCAGGTTCCACCAAAAAAAAAAAAAAAAAAAAAGAAAGAAAGAAAGAAAGAAAAGAAAAAAAGAAAAGAAAAAGAAAAAAGGAACAGCTTGAGGATGAATGACTGTGAGATGACAGGAAGTAGGTGAGTGCCATGAGCAGGACTAGGTAGAAGGCCTGCATTCACCTCTATGATATACAGAAAGGAAGATATATAGAAACAGCAATCTGCATTATACAGTTAAGATAGTACCTAGGGGCTAGGGAGATGGCTCAGTAGAATAAGTGCTTGCCTGGCAAGTGAAAGGGCCTGAGTTCAATCCCTGGTTCCAAAAAAAAAAAAAAAAAAAAGATAGTATCTAATGCTTCGGAGTCAGGCACTTCAGCTCTGATGTGTAATTTTTTTTTTAATTCTGATATGTAATCTTTCCAACACCAGGAAGTGATAGCCTCTATCTCAAGACTTGATCCCAGTGGACAGTATGGAGTATTGGCCCTTCATCCCATCTTAACCTGGCTAGAGAACAGCAGGTAGGGATTCAGGGGAAGCATACTTGCTGTCTTCAGAGACTACCACCAGCACCTCAGCTACACCAATATGCATTGCTTAAAGGTAATTGAAGGGATAAGGAAAAGTCCTAGCCAGCTCACACTCAACAAAATGGAGACAACTGCTCCTCTTTCAAGGAGAGTGGCCCAGGTGGTCCTCCACATTAAATGACTAGACCATTATGTCTCTAGCCAGAGAATGAATAGATGAGAAGAGGGTGATATGTGGCAAACTGGCCTGGGCCTGTGTTGTCCTAGTCGTTGGATGCTAGCAAAAAGATTTGACAGTGAAAAATCCATAATTTGTTATTCAGCCATACCATGTTCTTGAGGCAGGAGTGGTGGGCAGAAAACAGTTTTGTGAACACTAACCTGATGAAAAGAGGGTGATGGAGATGGATTTTTTTTTTTTTTTTTTT